GTTGGATATTAGGAGGAATGTCTTCCCTGAGAGATGGGTGATGCACTGGAACAGGCTGTCCAGGGAGGTGCTGGAGTCACCATCCCTGGAGGGGATCAAAAAATGAGCAGATGTGGCACCTGGGGACATGGTTTAATGGTCATGGGAGTGTTGGGTGATGGTTGGACTTCATCTTAGAGGTCATTTCCAACCTTACTGATTCTATGATCCTGCTGCCAGGACACCGCAGGGCGTCAGCACCAGCAGCAGGGCCAGGCCAGGACCTGACGGCCACTCCCAGCCCCCTTGGGACCCTTCCCCAGGAGCCACGTCTGCCCCACACCCCGAGGGGCCGCAGAGGCTCCGCTCCCAGCACGGGGCCCAGATGCCACATGGCAGCGTGCCAGTCACCCCAGCGCCAGCCTCACGGGGTGGCCCCGTGGCCACCGAAGGCCAGGGCTGCCTGGCTGGCTGTTAATCATTGCTGAGGAGGGGTGGAAAGCTGCCTGGTTCCCAGGGCTGGGTTTCCCTTCATCAGCCGCATCCCTCAGGCACTGGAACCAAGCGAGGGTCTGGCAGGGCAGGGGGACAGTGGCCCATGGGATGGGGACCTCAGTGGGCTCCAGGGCACTGAGCAAGGCTGGTGGAACGCTGGCAGGAGGGGTGGGCTTGCTCCTGGCATGCTTTGGACCTTCTTGAGCCTGTTTCTTGGCATCAGTGGTCTCCTGATGTTCTTAAAGGTGTCTTCCAACCAAAATGATTCTATGGTAACATCCAAGCAGTGGAGGATCTGGGGGTGGAAGTGGAGCTCCTGATGTGGCACCAGCTCTTGCTTTGCCCATGAACCCATCAGCAGTGCCCAGCAAGGAAGACGTCTGGGACCACCCCAGCTCCACAGCTCCCAGCAGTGGGTGAAGGAGAGGAGGGAGGATGGGAATTCCCTCCCGGGGGCAGGGCGGGGGAGCCTTCTATCCCATTCACTTCAGCCAAAGGAGCTGCCAGAGGGCACACTGGCATCACCAGTGTGGGATGGTGGCCTGGAGACATCCCCATGGTGGCACAGCCTGGCAGCACGGGCATGGCTGGCTCCCCGTGCTGGGCAGGGTGCCCCAATGCCACGGGCAGGGGTGTGATAGCAGCAGCCACGTCACCTGACGGAGGTGCCCGCTATAAAGCGCCTGCTGGCCCCGTGGCAAAGCCACGAGCAAGCCCACCATGGCCAACGTGCTGCCCTCCTGCCTGCTCCTGGTCCTGCTGCTCCTGGCCCCCGCCCTGCCCGCGCCCCACGAGCGGGGGCTCATCTTAAACTTGGTAAGAGGGACACCAGCCCCCTCCTTGTCACAGCCAGGGGATGCCCCAACTGGGGCACTGGGGGGTTGGAGGGGTCCAGCAGCAGCTACCTGGGGCTGTCCTG